GTGTGTGTGTATGTGTATATATATGTGTGTGTGTATACATATATTTGTGTGTGTATGTATATATATGTGTGTGTGTATATATATATGTGTGTGTATGTGTATATGTGTGTGTATGTGTGTATGTGTATATATATATGTGTGTGTGTGTGTGTGTGTGTATGTGTATATATGTGTGTATGTGTGTGTGTGTATGTGTATGTATATATGTGTGTGTGTATGTGTGTATGTATATATGTGTGTGTGTATGTGTATATATATGTGTGTATGTATATATGTGTGTGTATATATACATATGTATGTGTATATGTGTGTGTATATGTATGTGTGTGTGTATGTATATATATGTGTGTGTGTATATATGTGTGTGTATATACATATATGTGTGTGTGTATGTATATACATATATATGTGTGTGTGTATATATACATATGTATGTGTGTGTGTGTATATACATATATATGTGTGTGTATATATATATGTGTATGTGTGTATGTATATATATACACATTGTTGTTGTTAAGTACCATGGAGTCGTTTCCAACTCACAGTGACTCTGCACAGGGTTTCTGAGGCGGTAAATCTTTACGGGAGCAGAACGTCTCATCTTTCTTCTGTAGAAGAGCTGGTAGTTTCAAACTGCTGACTTTGAGGTTAGCAGCGCGATTTGTTAACCATACGCTACCAGAGCTCGCTCTGTGTCTGTGTGTATATATGTATATACATACACTATTGTACTTTTATTACAAATTTCTGTGTTTCTCTATAGGATCTTCTGTGTGTTACCATATTTAACTAAAGTGTTACAGTGACTGCGTGTCAATAATCAGGGTGATATCAAAACCACATATAAACCCCTTTCCACATCTTGTTGTTAGGTACCATTGAGCCAATGCCCACTCATATGCACAACAAAATGAAACACTGCTGATCCTGGGCCAGCCTCGCTAGTATTGCCACGCTTGAGCGCATTGATGCCACCACTTGGGCAATCCATCTTGCGGGCCGTCTTCCTCTTTTTCTCTGACCCTCCACCTTACCAAACATGATATCCTTCTCCAGTGACTGGTCCCTCCTGACAATATGTCCGAAGTATAAGAGACAAAGTTTGGCCATCCTGGCCTTCAAGGAGCACTCTGACTTCACTTCTTCCAAAACAGATCTATTGGTTCTTTTGGCAGCCCATGGCAATTTCAATATTCTCCTCCAACACCATAACTCAAAAGCATCAGTTCTTCTACGGTCTTCCTTATTTACTGTTGAGCTTTTGCATGCATATGAGGTTATTGAAAATACCATGGCTTGGGTCAGGTGTACCTTAGTTCTCAAGCTGACATCTTTGCTCTTCAACACTTTAAACCTTTCCACTTACTCCCCCTCGATATACACATGGAAAGAAAGAAATTACCAAAGAGTATTTGCACAGAGGAGAAATAAAATTGCTAATTAGTCAGGAATAATTGTCTTCTACCATCATAATCCTTAGGGAGCCGTGGTGATGCAGCCATTAAGCACTGGGCTGCTCACTGAACATTTGGCAGTTCGAACACACCTGGTGGCTCTGAGGGAGACAGACCTGGTGACGTGCGCCTGTAACGCTGACAAGCCGGGGGCGGGGGGGAGGGAGCAGCTTGGCGCTGTCACTGTCACCTGGGGTCAGCTCGAGAGCATCCAGCATGTGCCTGCTGGGTATCGAACTAGAAAACCTTCTGTGCTGTGCTGTTCGGGGGCTTTCTGAAGTCCCGTTAACAGGAGGGATTTCTAAGCAGAACACTGTGATGCCATCTGTCACTTCACTTCTTACTGTGGAGAGGATGTTCCTCCCCCTCGTGTAGCAGTATCTGGTTACTTTATTTGCACACCTTTATTTTGAATTACTTGCTTCTGTAGTATGATTTGACTCATTTGTACTGTTGATAATTTAGCGTGGTATGTAGGCAGTTACACTCTACGTGTTGTGGTGAGTTTCTTCCGAGTACAAAGGACAGAATACCTCTTTCCAAGCAGGAATGCAGGTGGTGTTTAGTGCCGTGGAGTCAGTTCTGACTCACGGCAAACCTGTATACGGTTTCCAAGGAACAACTGGTGGTGTTGAACAGCTGACCATGTGGTTAGCAGTCCACTACTGATGCTACAGCACCACAGCAGAGCTCCATGTTGTTGTTGTTGTTGTTAAGTCTCATCGAGTCGGTTCCAACCTACAGCAACCCTGTATAGGGTTTCTGAGGAGCAGCTGGTGAGCTTGAACTGCCGACCTTGCAGTTCAAAGGACTGGCTTAGGCAGTTCTTGAACATAATTGTACAGTATGCAGGTGACGTGCAGCTGTGCCATTTATGACTACATTTGAGGGGTTAGTAAGCTAGGGTGTGATTCTGTGTCTCTACCGTCTATACTTTGTGTACAACTTAAGTTGCTGTAACTCTGTAGTATAGTAACGTCATGAAGGTAGGAATTCTTGAGAGAAAGCTGGTGGTCACTTTCCAAGTGTGTAAATCTTATTTTATAATTTCCTTATCAGACGTTCGATTGTTTACCATTACACACCTATGTTGGTGTGGGAATCGTGCCTCTTATTCCCCCCTCTTACTAAAGCTACCAAAAAATCATA